AAAAAGAGTGATAACCAAACATAAGGTCCTCCCTGATGGCATACTCAGAAACAACCATGAAGTATTCTTGCCAAAAAATCGAGCCTGAATTTGATCAAGCCTCAAGATCTAACTATCAGTTTATAAAAAAATACAGGGAGGAACATACTAAAAACCACAGAAACACAATTAGAAAATAAAATCAAGACTGCAAAACACTACAGAACAAACAACCTGTTTCTTCAACAAAAAATTACCAGGAAAAAAAAGAGATGGAGGAATGAGAATCTATAAGATTCCAAAAGTCTTAAGATATGTTAACTACTTTAATGTGTAAACCTTATTTTGGATCCTGATATAAACAAACTATAAAAAAAAGAACTTGGGAAATTTAAACATTAATTGCTTATTTAATGATATTAAGAAATTAATAATTTTATTTGTGATAATCGAGTTGTGGTTATGTTTTTTTTGAGTCCTTACCTTTTTAAATTAAATATTTTATTTTGAGATAATTGTTGATTCATGTTTAAGAAATTTTGTTGTTGTAAGAAATTATATAAAGAGATGAGGTGCAGTGATTCATGCCTGTAATCCCATCATTCTGAAAGGCCAAGGCAGGAGGATCACTTGAGGCCAGGAGCTCAAGACCAGCCTGGGGAACACAGTGAGACCCCCATCTCCACTTTAAAATTTTTTTAAATGATACAAAAGGATATCTCATATCCTTTATCCAGTTTCCCCCAATGGTAACATCTCGCAAGACTATAGTACAATATCACAAACAAGATACTGACAGTGACTCAGTGAAGATCCAGAACATGTTCACTGCCATAAGATTCCCTCATATTTTCTTTAATAGCCACAGCCATTTCCCTCCCATTCACACTCCCTATCACCTGGCAACCACAAATCTGTTCTTCAGTCCCTGATTTTGTCATTTCAAAAGCGTTACAGAAATGGTATCAAACACTCTGCAACTTCTGGGATTGCCTTTTTGCACTCAGCATAATTATTTGAAGATTCATCCAGGTTGCTGAGTGTATCAATGATTGGTTCCTTTTTATTGCTGAGTGTATTCCATGTTAATGGTATGCTATTCTCTGTTAAACCATCTACCCACTGAAGACACCTGGGTTTTTTTTTCCATCTTGAGCTATTATAAATAAAACTGATATGAACATTCATGTAGAACCTTATCTTTTAAAGATACTTAAATATGTATGGATGAAATAAAATGATGCTAGGAATTACTTCAAAAAAGTTCCTAACAGGATGAAATATGGAAAAAAAAACAAACTCTTCATCAGCTAATAAGCACCTTATACAATTATCTCTACTTTTATATGTGTTTAAAATTTTCCATAATATAAAATTCAAAAAAAGAATCCAGTAAGAAAAAATTACTCATCTGACTACTACACACCCCTGCACATAAACACACATATCTTAAAGTAAAACTGAAGGTACACTTTTTTATCTTGTGACTTTAGGCCATGCCAAGATCAAAGGAATTCTTTTCTTAAAACATAGAGCCAACACCTTCCAGTGATCATTATTGTAACACTCACTATAACAATTAAGGCAAATCCAACCTAAGTATCTGTTAACTTTCTTTCAGAAGTTTTTTTTATTAAGCTACAGGGTTGATATAATAGGTAGTCTGTAACACTGGACAAAAGCAGGTAAGTAATCACCATAATCAAATGTATGAGATTTATGAGTGGCTTGTCTTCAAAAGAGAGGGTTTACATCTGACATGAATAGGTCCTTATCATCAAGACAAATGCTGAAAGAACAGAAGTGTGATTACTAAGATGAAGAGCAACAAACTATATGAGCACAATCAGGCCTGAAAATGAAGTGTAATGCATTTTATATTTGCAAAGGCTGCTTTTGTTTAAGCCACTCTGGAGGACAGCATATTATTATCATGTTCAGTCTGCAAGCTAATGATTCCTTAGTATAATTCTGCAAAACGGTGTCTACTATTCAACACCACCAATATTCCATCAGCCCATTCTTCCTTAGTGCTGTATCATCTTCTTCCCTTCCATCTTACTGAGGACACCTTGTTTTTTCTTCGTATGTGGTACTGAAAAATGAAAACCAATTCTCCCAAAGATCTCAAGCAAAGAAGAGACCATAAATGCCAACCCATTAACCAATCTGGGATTAAAAGCCAAGATCTCCAAAGGAAATACTCATGATGATTTTCAAATGCCAAGTAGTGCAATGGCTACAAATGTTTCCCTTACCTGCTCTGTAATGCCTCCACATGCACTGTGATAAGCAATTTTAAAGCTTAAATAAACATTGTTATTAGAAGTAGGATATCTGTTCACAGATCAAATCCCAATAAGATCAATTCCAAAGGATCACCTAAGTTTTATAGTTGTGTTGTAGTGTGATTATATCAAATATCCCTCGTATTAAGTGAGCCCCAGCCTTGGTGTTAGAAATAGTAATGCTTGTTGTGATAGGATTTGATCTGTAATACCATACTATGATAGGGAGGAAAAAGATGGTACACTAATAGGCTATCTGTGTGACAGTGAAATAACTATAAAATGAAGGACATTAGTCAATTCTATTAAAAGCAATCTATATACAGATTGGTTCAGTGGTGAGTTTAACAATGTAAGAGTTCTATCAATAAAAAGAAATCTATGGCAACACTGTATCAAAATCTTATTCTTATGTCATGGGTCAGAACCAAGACACATGGAATTAAAATATAAAATATCATAGACCACTAGAAATTGCGCTATGTACAGGCCTGCATTGAGGAGATTAATTATCTGCTAGAGACAGAAAAGGAAAATGGTAAGAATTGGATGCAAGAGTATAAAGGAATTGAGAAAGAGTTAATAAATGGGTGTAAAGTTAAATACACATATATTTTTGAACACTTTTTTCCTCTATCTTTTGCCATATTTCTTGACTCTTACAACCAAACATTTTCTGGGTCTTGTGGATAAGGACTCTACAACACAAATTTTTGCGCAGTTTGTGGCCACTGACAAGACACTAGAAGCTGGAACTCTTAGCACTCATCTTGATATACTTAAAGGTTAATCTAAAATAGTTTGCATAAACTAAAATGTTCTTGCCAAATCTTTAGGGTTGGTTTTCTCATATTTCACATTATCCTTCTTCATAGCAACCACCAATGCCTGGTCTACAGATTTGGATTTCAGAGGGGCCATTTTTGTCAGCTGAGGTGGTTTCAGAGAAAGGGATGTATGAGAGGACAGGTAGTAAGAGGTAATGCATACAGAAAAATGAGGGAAGGCATTAGATCTAGCAAAGATCACAAGAACAAACGGCACAAGAGTAGTATAGAGAGATGAATAACCATGTTTGGCAAGAGCTGTGTAGAGTGGAGGAGTAGAAGATAAACTTAGAAGAGCAGGTTGGAACCAGGGAGCGGCAACCTCTGATGCCCAGGCAAAGCATTTAGACCACATCCTATAGGCCCTCAGAAAACTACTGCAGGTTAGAGCACAGGTTAGATAAGTATAGCCGTGGTTAAAAAGATGTGACTACAGGTAACGGGCAGAGAGGAAAGGAGTAGAAGACCACAGATAAGAGCCTTTACTAATTGTTCCACGTGAGGTCAGAGGGCTTGATCTAGGAGGGTGATAGTGGGAAGAGAAAAGATTAATTTGAGAGGCAGTGTGAAAGATACAAATACTTAAAGCTAGTTTTGTCCTCAATTAAAACCTAGAAAATGGTCATTGTTAAAGAACTACTTACAAGATGCTAAGGATTCTCATGTTGATTGGGAGATAAACTGTCGTTATGATCAAACACATAAGAGGGCATAAAAATTCTAACTGATAAAGTCATTGTTAAAGGAAGCTTTCACTAAGCTCAACAGAACCTTGGAAAAAATAAGATTTTTGATATAAGTAAAAATTATTTTTAAGGAGATTATGATTGGTTGCAAGGTGATGAGTATTTTTTAATTTCCAAAATAATTAACTACTGATTTTAGCAAGGCAGTAATAATGACTTATATGATTGACAAATCTATTTTCTCTACTTTTGCAAATCTACTTTTTATATCTGCTTTTGCAGATCTATTTTCTCTACTTTTGCAAATCACTATTGCAACCATATTATTAATCAAAAGCTCTTCTTTTTTGCAAATGTATCTATGAGTAAAACTGTAAAGCAGTATAGATTACAGAAGGCAAATCATGTATTTCTTAGTGTATAAGCCAACTTAGTTTCTATGTTCATTTGCTTAATACATTTTTATTGAGCACATACTACTTGATAAGTACTGTGCTGGTGCTGCATGTGCAATGAAGAATAAAAGAGACATGGTCTGCCTATATGAGAGCTCACAGTACAGAGAGTCCCAGACTTAGGATGGTCCAGCTTAACAATTTTTAGACTTTATCATGGTGCAAAAGTGATACACCTTCAAGAGAAGGTATTTTGATACCTACACAACCATTCTGTTTTCCACTTTCAGTAAAGTATTCACCAAATTGCATGGAGCTATTCAATATTTTATTATAAAATAGGCTTTGTGTTAGATGATTTTGTCCAACTGTAGGCTAATGTAAGTGTCCTGAGCACATTTAAGGTAGGTTAGGCTAAGCTATGATGTTTAGTAGGTTAGGTGTATTAAATGCATTTTCTACTTAAGATATTTTCAACTTATAATGGGTTTATCAGGATGTATTCCCATTGTAAGTCAAGGAGGATCTGTATAGTGGAAAAAACAGACATCGATTTTTTTTTAATCATCCTAATATGTAATTTAAAATCGGAATAAGCATCCTAAAGGATAATTATAGGACACTCTGAGAGCTTATAATAGGGTGGCTAAACCAAGACTGGGTCTGGGAAGGTGTTTTTAAAGAAACTGTCTTTGAGGTGAAATATGTAAAGATATAGAGGAGTGAAATAGGGAAAAGGGTTGGGGAGAGGGAACTAGAAGAAAAGATGAACAGAGGGAAAGAATACAATAAAATGCATACAATAAAATGACAATACTCTCCGACCTGTTGTGTAATAGTGTCCCATGGTCCCTGTAGCAGTCGCGTCTTATAGCACTCATGAACTCCTTCCCATATGTCCTTCAGAGTTAAAGGTCTCCCATCTGTGAAAGTGCATGGTAAAGACTGAGTTAGTAATTCATGTGACACAATGGTTCTTGGTGTCAATCTAAAACTCTTGGAAGAATATCATGACTTTTAGAAAGATCTTCAGTGCAAATGCTATTTATATATCAAGAGAGTGCTATATGAATTACTATTTTCTTCCTGAGGGAAATTTAAACATTCAAGCATCTCAGCTTTGTATCCATCTAGCATTTAAATTATCTGCCCATTCATTGCCTCTAGGAATTTTACAAAATAAATAAAATCCAAATGTGTTTTAGAGAGAACTGACAGATACAAGCAGAGGCAAAGGAACAGACAAACAGATCCCCATATTCACAAAGGTACACTATGAATACTTTGAATCCTTTGTACTTCCTCTAGTCCTTAAAACAAAGAAGCCACACCCATGCATCTTTCACATTCTCATGGAGTATCTATAATGTCCAAATCACTCCATCAGGTACCATGGAGAATAGAGATAAGAAAAACACACAATTTCTCCTAACAAGGAGCCTATCATCTACTGAGGAAACTGTGACAAGTATATTATAGTAGAGTGGTCTCTGCCTGAAGAAGACTGACGCTCACTGATGGTCCAAGGAAGAGAGATATTAATACTTGGTGTATATGGCAGGCAGAGAAAGGGACTCTTGGGGTGAGAAGGGACAGTAGAACAGGGTTGGTATGAACAGGGCAGTAAAAGCTTTATTGAACAATAATGCTCTTTTTCTTTGTTTCAATTATCCATCTGTATCCACCCAAACAATGTTTTACAAAGACCACTATGGCACTTACATTATACACAAGGTAAGTAAAGTGGAAAAATAGGTATCTAAGTTCTGAAAAGAAAGCAGAAAGAAGAAGTCACCTAAAGATTTCAAACAATACACTGCTGGAAAGAAAGTATCTTAATGCTAGAATCCAGTATAACTTGCTCCATTCAGAGCTATAAGGCCCTCAAGACTCAGGGGTGTGCTCTTTTGGGCTAATGGAGGATATCACTTAAAGATATTTCACATAGCAATATGCTGAATATTTAGACCAAAGAAGTATTTGGTCATCAAGGGCAACAAAGCATAAGGGAAATAATCTACTCAAGAGCTCCAAAAATCACTGTATTAAGACTTTCTAGTATAAGTTTAGAAAGGTATGGTGTTGGGGGAAAAAACACTAGATTTGGAATCTGGACTAAGTTTAAATCCTGGTGTTGGCACTTACTCCCTATGTGAGTGCAAATTACTTTGCTTTTAACTTTACCTGCAAAATGAGAAAAATGATCCTTTCTGAGTATTGTTCTTTTGAGGCTTACATTAGTGAATGCACCCAGGACTGTGTTAGGTACACAATAAGAGCTCAATAAATATTAGGAATCTCCTCCCAGCCCTCACACAATCATTCTAGTAATTCTCAAACCTAAAAGATTCATTTCTAGACTGTTATTTCTTAGAATTTTCCCATGTTGCTATACCGTGTATATCATCTTTGATATAGTACTAAACTAATATCATAAGCAGAACATTTCTCATGTTTGACCTAAAAAGTTGAACTTTTCCTCAACCTTTATTTTCAATAAATAGCAATAGAATATTTTGATACATTTTCAATAAGTATCTTCATCTTGGCATTTATCTGGCGGCGGGAGACCATTATCTTGTGATAAATAGTTTTATTCCATTGACATTTCCATGTCTGTAAAATGAACAAGATTTATTCATCCAATTAACATTTGAATGTCATGTTTAGCTACAAGTTAAAAACAAGCTGCCTTCAGTATCTGTGTTATATTGTTTTCCGAACACATTTACAGAGTAGGGCCAAACTCTGCTCTTAAGCACTATGCACCTTCAAAATATGCACATGCCATGCATGCATATGTGTGTGTGTGTCTGTGTGAACGCACGCGTGTGTGTGTACTGGTGTGGGAAGAGGCAAATAAGATCTTAAGTACTTTAGTGTCAAATAGTAAACTAATCAAATTATAGAATGATATGCTTTTAAAATAATTTTTACATGTCAAAGTTAGAAGAAATCAAATACCTGTAGTAGGATAATAAAATGTTAGAGCTAGTATAACCACTAATTTTATAAATAGGGCAGCCAAGGTCTTAGGAAATATGTATCTGCCAAAAGTATGCAGCAGGTTCATGACTGAACTGAAGTCTGAATCCAGATCTCAGGACTCATCAGTGCTCTTCCTGCTGGTCCACGCTGCCTCTGAGGGCTGAGGCATTGCAAATGGTTTATAAATATTTACTGAGTAAATGATAAATGATGAAAAAATGCCTTCCTTAACTTTATTTCCACTAACATAAAGGTTTACAGGCCTAGAGAAGAATGCTGGGTTTCATATCTTCATATCTGATAATCAGTAATGATTTTAATTTTATTCCTTAAAGTATTTCAGGCAACAATGTAAGTACAGAGTAAATGGTTTGGATACAAGTTAATTTTAGAAGTAGGTGTTTTATATAATTGGGCACCTACTATATGCCAGGCACCTGTGCCAAGCCTTTGCGATACATCAGTGAGCAAAACAATCATCCCTGTTTTCATGGAGGTTACATTCTGCCTTGGGGTGTGTGTGTGTGTGTGTGAGATAATAAACAATAAACACAATAAACAAGTAAACTGTATATTATCTTAGGAGGTGATACATACTATGGTGAAAACGAAAAGTAGAGCAGGCTAAGAAGTGCCAGCCAAAGGTGGATTTGCAATTTTAGACTTCAGTGAGAAAGTGTGTGCAAAAAATGGGAGGCACAGCGTTCCAGGGAGAGGCACCAACCAATGGAAAGACCACCAGGGCTGGGTAGGGGATCACTAGCACCACATGAATATCACTAACATTCGTCATTTACAGACAATGACTTAAAAAAAACACACATAACTTTATCAAGATATAATTCACATACATACAATTCGCCCATGTTAAGTGTACAATTCAATTATATTCATAGAGTTGTGCAATCATCACCTCAATTAATTTCAGAACATTTTCATCACTTTAAAAAACAACAACAACAAAAACAGCTGGGCACAGTGGCTCACGCCTGTAATCTCAGCACTTTGGGAGGCCCAGGTGGGAGGATTGCTTAAAGCCAGAAGTTTGAGAGCAGCCTGGGCAACAAAGTGAGACTCCATCTTTACAAAAATGTGGCTATATAGGGAAGGGCAGAGACAAGAGGCCAGGAAAGTATTTACCTCAGTGGAGTCCTTTAGCTGCAGTCCCAATGAGGCCTGGCAAAGCTTTATTTCTTTTTCTTCAGAAAAAGCGCTATTTTCTTCTCACCCCTACTTTCTAAACCAACTTGAGTGCTTTTCTGATTGTTGTAACCAGAGCTTTGTTTGAAGACTCTTCAAATGAGGAAACCGATGGAAAAATTGGTAACATAACGGCGCAAGTCTGTTATACAACCACAATGATGCAACTGCTTGAGATGACTTAGACAGTCGTGACCTCCATGAATACCCTCTCCAAACCATGGTCTCCAACTTCCAAAATCTAACCTCCTTAAAAAAACTGAGGAAGGTCAACAAGTAATTGTAATACCATTGTTAAAATATCTGCTTCTTCTAGGCCCATAATGGCTATCTCAAGGGCCACTGCAAAGTCTCTTTAGCACCTCTCCAAGTTCTGTGTTTGGCACCCCCTGCTGGTGGCATGCTAGGCCTGGTGGGACTACAAGTATTTAAAACAAGCTATCAAGTCTTAAATATTCAAAAGACCACTGTTCCTCAAAACAGTCACCTAGGGAGGTTACCTTACTATTCAGCAAATTCAGGCAATATTTAGTCCAACAATGCTGTAATTTTGTCAATGGAACTGCCTTTGAACTTTTGAACTGCCTTCAGAGCCAGACAAGTAACTAATTACTTACTAGTCCCAAATAGGTTTAAATCAAAGGAAAAAAAATTATACTTATTTTATTCCATATATTTGGTTCCAAATGATTTTGTTGTCTCCAAACAAATTCACCTTTAATGGGCAACCATCTTCCAACTTTTAGCCACAAGGGCTGGAAGAAGTTTCAAAACCAGCAGTTCCCAAAATACGTTGAGTAATCAGAGTATGGTTGGCAAAAGTATATAATTTTGCTTTTCCTCTGTATCTCTGCAAATCTCTCCAGTTTCTGCTGACCACTTACACTGTAAAAGGTCTGGGTAAATATAGTTTTGTCTCTATGACAACAATGACCTAATGAGGTATGATGCGGTTTCTGTTCCCTAAGCCTTCATCACTGGTTTGCCTAATCACAGTTTACACCTTCATCATCAAAGACATACAAAAGTTAGTTTCTGAGATGTTTCACAGAAAAACAAAAAGATCTAACTTGATACGCAATATGTTCAAAATCCTGGCATACATTATTGATATCTAAAATGCTTTCAAATATGATCGTGACTCTATTTCGAAAGCAAAATGGATTCTTGAGAAATCCCACTGAAACAATTAAACTAGGATATTTCTATATGTATAAAGAACCGCATCATATAAACAAAGCAGAAACCTGAAGAATATTGTACATATCCACTTATTTATGAAAACTGAAGACTCAAGACTTAAAATATGGACATAAATACTTGGTTAAGAACATAAAACACATTATTATGTGCCTGCATGTTCAATTCAGAGTATCTTCAATCAGAAACTTTAACCCATGTTAAGAGAGTCTATTTTTTTGCATCTGGCCTCAGTCAGAGGAGACATAAGCTTACTCAACCAACAACCCCTTCGTTTCAGATCCAAGATACTTGATCGCACCAATTTTAACATGCTTAGAAATTTCATTAATCACATTGAGGCTGAGTAGCTCAGTAAAATCCCTTGAATACTTGAAAAAGAAGTAGAAGCCGAAATAATTTCAGTAGTAACTTACATAGTAAGCATGGTAAACTGAGATCATTTATATAACAAGTGTTTAGTGAGTGCCTACTATGTGCCTATATCACTTGGAATGATAATACACATTTAAGCTAATGGAATGTCCTGTCAGTA